TTTATATGATGTCTCCTACGGTTAGCTAGCTCAAGGTTTTTTTTTTTTTTTTTTTTTTTTTTTTTTTTTTTTTTTTTTTTTTTTTTTAATGCATGAACCAAACAAAATATACCTATAAGCCAGGTTTGATGGTTTGGCCACTGGTTTATAATTTCTGATCTAATCTTATCTTCCTGAAAATGAGACCCAGAAAGGTTATGTAGCTTGCCCAGAGGGAGCAGCTCACTTACAACAGAGAGGAATAGTAACAGCAAGACTCTCTTTCCATGTTTCTCCAATTCATGAATTTGCAGGACACAGGAGGACCATCACATAGTCACCAAGTGGAATATGTGGGTCATAAAGAATGGACAAGATTAAAAGTAGTAGAGGAAAAGCTAGGTATACTCCAGACCTTTCAGCTTTAGCCACGGTGAAAACCATGCTAAACTCTGGCAACATTTTATATGGCCAATTCTGAACCATATAAATATAAACAACGGCCGGGCGCGGTGGCGCACGCCTGTAATCCCAGCACTTTGGGAGGCCGAGGCGGGCGGATCACGAGGTCAAGAGATAGAGACCATCCTGGTCAACATGGTGAAACCCCGTATCTACTAAAAATACAAAAATTAGCTGGGCGTGGTGACACGCGCCTGTGGTCCCAGCTACTCCGGGGGCTTTGGTGGAAGAATCGTTTAAACCCAGGAGGTGGAGGTTGCAGTGAGCAAAGATTGCGCCACTGCACTTCAGCCTGGCGACAGGGTAAGAATCCGTCTCAAACAAAAATAAAATAAAATAAAATAAAAAAGATAAAATAAAACTCAACCCAAGTCCCAGAGGGAGGTTTTAAAATTTTATCATAAATGGGAGAAGATAATGCTTAGACCCGGGGGGTTAAGGTATCTATGTGACACCAGGATCAGGGTGGGGATGGTCAGGAAAAGGGAAGGTGGGACATATGCTAATGTTTCCATTCCCACACTACAAGAGGGGTCTCTTGAGTATGCCACAGTAGCTTTCAAGTGCTCCTAACAGGGTGAAAATTACTACCTTTTGGGAACATAAAAGGACATGAAATTAGTTCCAGAGACTGGAAATCCTGTTATCTCTACATTAGACCCCCCTTCTTGCCCTGCAAACCATTCTGGTTAGAGACATTCTCTGTCATACCACATAGAGCGGCTGAGACTCATGCAGTGAAGAAACAGTTCTAGGCTCCTTGTCCAAGTCTCTGGAGAAATCTTGCCCAATTAAATCATAAACATAAAACAGAATGTTTAAAATCCCAGACATAAATATTGTAAGACATTGCTTATTATAAAAACATTAAACTTAACAAATTTAAATGTAAATTTTAGTATTGATTGGGCAGCATACATTGTATTCCTCAAGTAAAGCATAATCCTTCCTTTATTATACTTCACATTTTCTAGCAGATAGGCAAGTGGCCAAGAAAATTAAGACAAAGAGAAGTTTAATAAGTTTCATGATGTAAATCTGCAATAACTCTCTGACCACTTCCACTTACGTCAAAGTAATGCATTCAACAGCCTAATGATTAAAATATAGATATAGATTTTAAGCAGTAATGGAATTAATATTAGTAATAGCTTTTTTCATTTTGAAATTATTTGATTAGATTCATGAGTTTAATATTACATTAAAATTTATAGATATATTTGAAGTAGTAATCTTAAGTCTTTATATAGATAGCTCACTTTGCATACTCTATTTTGCCTCACGATCTTAAAGTATAGATTATTTTAAAATACAGAATACCTTTCAAGAATTTTAAAAGCTTAAAGATTGTTGGCATAAAATATTTTTTACACTGATAGGGGTTGCTTTTCATGTTATTTCATTAATCTCACTTCAATATTAGGCAGTAAACTTGGTAATTAGTTCAGGTTTTATCCCTATGTTGGTGCGTTTCTTCTTGGGTAATGTCATGTAATACAAATAGTTGTCGTCCACTAAAAGATATCCCAATAATCTGGACCAAAAATCTGGGCATGAAAGTTTTATGCACCGAGAAATTTTACTTTTCCTTTTGTTTTAGAATCTTTGTGATCAGTTCCCAGTAAAAATGGATGCAAATTTCTCTTTCTGCTGTTACAGATTTGAAGTCGTGCCACAAAAAAATAAACATATAGTTTCAATCCATACATTCTGTTGATATTTCCGTATGACTAAGTATTCTTCCATAACATCATTTTTAATGACTGTATTGTATTATGTGAGTGGACTGTGGTTTATTTAACCTGCCTGCTGTTGTTAAATTTTTTTCTTTTTTAAAATAATAATGTTTTTAACTATCCATGTAGCCAGAATTTTGCATACATTCATAATCATCTCATTAGGGTAAACTTCTAGAATTATCATTATTATGTTTAAAATAATATAAAATCTTGATATTGTCTTAGAGAAATGCATGTTAACAGTTAATATGTAGAGTACTAATATCCCTAATCCTCCAACAATTCATTATTAGTAGTACATCTTTGTCAATATAGTAAGAAAGTGTTTTAATAACCCATTATTTTAATATGCAATTATTTGATGACCACTGAGGCTGAGTATTGTTTTATATTTTCCTAGTTTTTAAAATAGGAGACATGGGAGGGGCATTTTTCTAAAAGGTCTGTAAGTAACCCTGCAGAGAGCACCTTAGTTTCATTAGGTTGAATGTGCCCATACCCCTCACTTCAGATGCACATTAATGACATTAAAATTATGGAAACATAATATTTACTTAATTTGAAAAGGGGGCAAGCCCAATCAAAACTCTGATCAAATTTCTTTTTAAAATAAAAAAAAATTAAGTTAGTGAAAAACTGTGAAACTAATTGTTACAAATAGATGCAACTAGCCTACATGATTTCATTTTCTCTGCAAGATATATTGTGAAATATAAATCTTTTTGAAAGTGTGCATTTTCTTTGATGAAATGTACATTTTGAATATATTTGATCTTTTCAGTTTCTGTGCATTTACATTCCTTTTAAAAAGTACTTCAATTCAAAATGTGACTTGAATTTAAAATATTTTTATTTATGCATGATTTTGAAATACATATTAAGTGATCATTTATATGATGTATGAGATGTCCTTGAAATGGGTCTGTGAAATCAAAAGACTTAAAATGTTATTGGCAGGAAAATGACCATATTAAAATAGAGATACCATTGCTGCATGACAAATAACCCCAATGTGTAGCATCTTAAAGCAACAAACATTTGTTTTCTCACATATTTTCTGAGGATGAGGAAACCAGAAACATCTTAGCTGTGTGGTTTTGACTCAGGGTCTCTCACAAATTTGCAGTCAAGCTGTTGACTGTAGTTTCTGAAGACTTGACTGAAGATCTGCTTTTAAGCTCACTAATGTGACTGTTAGCTGACCTTCCTTCTTCACCACATGAGTCTTTCCTTAGGCTGCTCAGGACAGACCTGACTTCTAGAGTGATCCATGAAAGAGACTTTGAAAAGATAGAAGAAGGAAGGAGGGGAGAGGGAGAGGGAAAAAGGAAAAGGAAGAGGGAAAGCCAAAGATGGAAGTGTTAGTCTGTTTTATAACATAATCTCAAAAGTGATGCACCATCAGTTTTACCATAAATTATTGACCTCACAGATGAATCCCATCACAGTGTGGAAGGGAACTGCATAGGTTATATATACTAGGAAAGGCAGAGATTTATTTAGAGTAAATAGTATTACTGTAAGTTAAAATTTACCATAATCAATTAGCTTGAAATAAGTGATGTCTATATGAGGTATATCAAAACCTGTCACTTTAACTGTCAGTAGCCCTCTTTTTTTTTTTTTTTTTGAGACGGAGTTTCGCTCTTGTTACCCAGGCTGCTAGAGTGCAATGGCGCGATCTCGGCTCACCGCAACCTCCGCCTCCTGGGTTCAAGCAATTCTCCTGCCTCAGCCTCCCGAGTAGCTGGGACTACAGGCGTGCGCCACCATGCCCAGCTAATTTTTGTATTTTTAGTAGAGACAAGGTTTCACCATGTTGACCAGGATGGCCTCGATCTCTTGACCTCCTGATCCACCCGCCTCGGCCTCCCAAAGTGCTGGGATTACAGGCATGAGCCACCGCGCCTGGCCAGTAGCCCTCTTTTAGCATTCTGAATTCTATAATCATATTCTATAATCATCAAATCAGCATTCTGAATTCTCTAATTTTTTATTTTTTTAAGAAAATGCTTCTCATCTTCCGTAGTTTTTTTGGGGTCGAGGGATTTAAATAAAACTCTCTTTAAATGAAATTTTAAAAACACTGAAAATATATTATCATTTGAAAGAAATGTGTAAGTACTTTCTTCTGTACTAGTCCTCTTTCCTATAAGTACTTGTATTGGTCAGTTCCCACACTGCTGTACAGATACTACCTGAGACTGGATAATTTATAAAGAAAAGGTTTAATTGATGCAATTCCACATGGCTGGGAAGGCCTCAGGAAACTTGTAATCATAGCAGAATATGGGGAAGTGAGGTACATCTTTTCTAGGCAGCAGGAGAGAGAGGCCAAGCAAGGGAAGGGGAAGTGCCACACTCTTAAACCATCAAATTTCCTGAGAATAGCATGGGGGAAACTGACCCCATAATTCAGTCACCTCCCACCAGGTTCCCTCCCTCTACACGTGGGGATTACAATTCAAGGTGAGACTTGGGTGGAGACACAGAGCCAAACCATATCAGAACTTACCTTTAACAACAATAATTTAATAATAAACTTTATTCCTTAGTAAGAAATATTTTTATCCCTTTGTATTTTTTATTTTTGTAAAGTTTCAACATGACTTCTTTTCCCATAGAGTTTATTTAAAATGGGAAGTACATCAGTAGTCACTTCATATCACTTTTGGCCCAAGTGAGACTGATGTCACATCGTGGAGTGCAAAGGAGTCTGTAAAGACTTTAATATAACCTATTTTTTTAATAGAATTTATTTTCATTTTCCTAAAACAACAGAGATTCAACTAATTGTATAATGTTGTCTTCTTGTTCTAGGTCTCCTAAAAACCCAGAACAGAAGATCATTAAGAGAGTGATTGCTCTTGAAGGAGATATTGTCAGGTAAGTATTTACTATTGTTTCTGAGTTCAAGTTTTATAAAATGTCTGGATTTTTGTTACCTATATCACTTGGGAAGTACATGTCATTCAAAGAGGGCCAAAGTTTTGGAGACATTCCAAATGAGCTGGTATATCTTTAGTGCCCATCATTAACCTTTCATGTTGTAAGGAATACATAAACTTTCTGATTATATTGTTATTATTTAATCCTGAAGTACAGGATAAATAAATATTAATTTAAATTAACCATCTATTCTAAAATGAACATTAGATCATTATTGATCAGATATTAAAATTACAATGATTATTTTAAGATTGTGATATCAAGGTTCATTAAAAATTTCAAGGATATTTAATACAGAAACTAAGAGGACTGTTTTATACTTATAGAGATGTGAGAAAACTGAAAAGGATGTGAAACAGAAACTACTACATCAGTGACAAGAATGGAAGCTTGAGATGATAAGATTGTAACAACCAGGTGTTTAAGCAAGCTTTAGTGATGTATTTATTGTACTTGCTGATAAGTCAAGAACGATTGTTGACATTCAGCAAGTAAACATTGTATGGCATGATATGTCTCGTTGTGATTGCTTTCTTTAAATATGTTGTAGCCAGGCCTAGACAATGTGGTGACCAAAATGCTTTGAATGCTACATTTCAGAAGTTTTCTGACCTTGTTTTTTAAAAAAGCTTGAACCTAAAGTATTTGTATTAATGATAGTTCATATTAATCAACCTCACTAAAATGAACCTCAGACAGTTTTAGAGCAGATTCTAGGCCAGCAGTTCTCACTGCATGGCCAGAGGATGCCAGGGGATTCCTAAGACCCTTTTAGGGCCTATGAGATTAAAACTACTTTCCTAATAATTCTAAGGTGTTACTTGCCTTTTTTTCACTCTCATTCTGTTGTGTGTACAGTGGAGTTTTCCAGATTTGTGATATTGGAATTGATTGAATGCAGGAGCAGATATGAGAATCCAGCTGTTTTCTATTAAGCCAGACACTAAAAAGATCTGCAAAAATGTAAACAAATCAGTCTTTTTATGATTTATTATTTGCTTTTGGAAAAGAACTATATTTTTTATTTAAATCCTATTGTTTTTGTTAACCTAAGAGTTTATTTTTGGTATTTTAAATTAAATCAATAAATGAAATTTTAAAATAATTTTCTATTTTAATTTCTAATATGGTAATTACTGATAAATAGCAGCCACATAAATAAAAGTTTTTTGAGATTTTCAATTATTATTTAAAATGTGAAGAAGTCCTGATACCAAACAATTTGAAAACTTATTGATGTACAAATTCATGGCAACAATTTTCATGTCAGGATTGACTGCTTATACTAGTAACCTACACGATATCAAAAACATGGGGAGAAATGCCAGATATAGGTGACAGGAAGATGGAGGCAGCAAACCACCTTGCTATGTATGTACCTATGCAACAATCCTGCATAATCTGCACAGGTACCCCAGAACCTAAAGTACAATAATAATAATAATAATAATAATAATAATAAAAGACACAGAGATGCCAACAACCTGAAAAAAATTTTTGATCGAGGTATAATTTATTTACCTTGCAATTCACCCATTTAAAATATACAGTTCAATGAGTTTTAGTATAAATTTATACAATTTTCCAGTCCTCATAACAATCTAGTTTTTGAACACATCTGTTACCTATTACCTTCGAAAGTTCTCTCTTGTCCATTTGCACTAAACTCCTGCTTTCACTCCCAGCCCCAGACTTCCACAGGTCTGCTTTCAGTCTCCAGAGTCTAGCCTTCTCCAGAAATTTTTTTAAACGGAATTATACAATATATAGTCTTCAGTGTCTGTGTTTCTTTTGTTGTTGCTAACAGAATGTTTTTTAGGTTTCTCTGTATTGTGCATATTGTCTACAGTTTATTTTTATTCCTGAATATAATCTATTTTATAGACTTACCATATTTCGTTTATCCAGTCACAACTTGATGCATATTAGGATTGTTGCCAGTGTGGCATACTATGAGTAATTCTGTAGATATTGGTATAAATACTATAAACATTTGCATCTTCTGGTGGAAATATAGTCTCATTTCTATTGGGTATACAGTTGACTCTCTGTATTCATGGGTTCCGCATCCCTGGTTCCAACCAACTGAAGATGGAAAATATTCAGAAAGAGAGAAAACAAAGGATACTGTGTCTGTACTGATAAAAAAAAAATACAGACTTTTTTTCTTATCATTATTCCCTAAACAATGCAGTAAGACAAACATTTGCATAGCAGTTATATTGTATTACAAATAAATAATCTAGAAATAATTTAAAGGATATGGGGGGATGCACATAGTTATATGCAAATATTACATCATTTTTGTGTAAGGAACTTGAGCATCTGTGGATTTCGGTATCTGTAGGGGGATTTTGGTGTCTATATTTGTGAGAACTAATCTCCCACAAATACAGAGAGACAACCGTATCTGTGGGATGCTGAGTGTTATGGTAGATGCATGTTTACCTTTCTAAGAAACCATCAAACCATTTAAGAAAGTGGCTGGATCATTTCGTGTACTGCCAGCAATGCATTAGGAATCTAGTTTTTTTTTACATCCTTGTCAGCACTTGATATTGTCTATATTTTTTTATTATATCCATCCTAGTGGGTGAAAAGTAGAATCTCATTGTGGTTTTAAATTGCATTTCTCTGAATCCTAGCGATAAAAACAAACTACAGTGCACACTTTCCATTCATATCTCTTTTTGGGTAAAATATCTGTTCAAATCATTTGTAAATTTTATATTGGGTTGTTTTGAGTTATAAGAGGTTCTTTGATTATTTTAATGGAGTGAGCATTTGGGGGAGGATGTATAATGCTATGATTTAGTCAGATGCAGGTCTATTAGTATAAAAGAACTTAGTTATCATTTCTTATAGAATCTATGTTCTAAACTAGAAGAACTTGGTGACTATTTTTTTCAATAGCCTCTCCAGCCTTCTGCTTTGTGGCAGAAACTGGGAAGAGAAAATTTAGAAAACCGTTGGATATACTTCCACAAATATCCCAAATACATTTTCAGTATTTGGAAAACAGTGTGTAGATAAGATGCAAATCCCATTCAAAGAATGTCAACAAACCTTGAAAACATTACTCTAAGCAAAGGAAGCCAGTCACAGTAGACCACATACGTATGATTCCATTTATATAAAAGGTCCAGAATAGACAAATTCAAAGAAACAGAAATAAATTAGTGATTCCCAGAGGCATGGAAGAGGGGGAGTGAGAGTTACTGCTAATGAGTATAAGGTTTTTATTGTTTTTGGGGGTTATGAAATTGTCCTAAAATTATATTGCAGTGATGGTTACACAACTCTGTGAATATACCATACTAAAAACATTGAGTTGTACATTTTAAATGGATAAATTTTATCTTATATGAATTATATCTTAAAAGCTATTTTTAAAACCCAAAAGAATGTGACACCAAAGCAGGCAAAAACGTCATCTATATAAAGCAATCTACCAGGATTAGGAGTACCAAGGGATCCATTTTACATTATAATCCAAAGAAAACACAGCTTTTAACTCAGATACATCGGAATTGGTCACTAGCTGAACAGCCACCAATATGAAACTGCAAATGTTGGTCAAACATAAAAAGCTTTGTACAATCAGAAATCCTACAACAGACCTTTCTGAGTTATAGTTCAGGTGTTGCTTTCCTCAGTACGTGTAAATATTGGGTATACAGCGGAACCAGAGCCAGAGCAAGGGTTAATGATGCCAGGTTGGGATTTGAGGGAACAGGAATTGGATGATGTGAAAGGTCTACACTCTTTCTCCACTGCTGCAGCCCTCATGCAGTCTGTGAATTGACACCAGGGGCGTACGGCTCTATCTGTCCCCCTTTGGTACACCTCTCATATGGAGCAACCAAAAACATAAATAATGGACTTTCCAACTGTGTGGCCTCTAAAACTATTGGATAATTGATTCAAAAAATAATCATTTGTTAGTGTTTGATGTTTTTAAAGAAACTTGAAAACTCCTTTTCCTTTGAAACATTGGTACCTGAAGATCCGTGGCTTTCTAGATTTTATATTAAAAGCTGAACACATATATTCCTATAATGATTTTCCAACAGTGTTGAAATGTTAAGAGGTATTTACATAATAGAGTGTTATTTACTGGTAAACATACATCTTTTCTCTGTGATTCATTTTTTAAAGTGCCAGAGCATATTAAAAACTATAAAAATATGTTATGCTGTCTACTACTAGAAGCCATTAGTCTACTGGTCCCCTGACTTGGGACAGGCAAGGTGCTTTGGTCTGTGATGTGGATGCCTCAGTCCCATCTTTCCTCTGTATATTATTAGATTACCTAGTAGGCAAGCTAAATTCAAATATAGATCACCAAAAGTATTTTCTTGGAAAGAATTTGATATTTCATAAAATGATCAAGGAAAGCAGTCTTATTTTTTAGGACTTACTTATACTTACTGTAGGTTTCAGTAGTATTTTTATTTTGAATTACATATAATTAGAGGTTAGAGAATGAACCAAAATTTTTTTGGAGGTTAGACCCATTGAAGGATTAATACAATATTCCACTTAATATTCTGTTAGTTACACTCCACTCTGTTAGGTGGCAAAAGCAGATATGTAGTGAAATATAGCTTAAAGAGCACTTAGGGGTATCTGGGGAAGTAAGGGCAGTAGGAGCCAGGGCTCAACCTAGCCTTACTGCAGAATGGGAATGGCAGTGTTGCAGGACTTCTAGGTTTTGTCACTTGCACCCTCTGTCCACTGGCATATTGCTTTTGCCTATCTGTGTTTTGGTTGGCTTTTGCCCCACCACCAACTGCTGACTTCTTGGATGTGCCTCATTACCTGAGAGAAGTCTGAGTGTCACCCTTTGACATACAGATCTAGGACCTGTCCACTTGACAGATAGCTGGTCAACCAACTGCCTTTAGGGTAGGCATCCTTCCCTGGTCTTGTCAGCT